GCCAAGCCTTTTTGTCAGCTTTCAAGGATTCGACTTTGCCGGTAATGACAACCAAACTTTTCGCAACACTTTTATAGTAATTTGATACTGGAACTTGTCAGGGAGTAAAACTCTCCATCAGTTTGCTTCTAAGTAACTTTCGGAAGTGTGATGACAACTTTGCTAGTGTGTGGTTGCTATTCGCACCTGTTACTAGTGGAGGTATTTTCGAGTACCCCTGCTTCCCATAGAGGATTAATAGAAGAAAGGGTAGTTAAGAAAAGGGTAATTTTAATTTTGTCTTATAATTTAGTGTCCTTATTACATATTCATAAAATCACTTTGCGCAAACTGTGTGATTTCTTCGGGTGTGCATGTAGCTGGTGTGCATAAGCCGAACTGTACGCCAAGTATTTCGGGATGCTGGCAATGCTGACGCATCTCAACATCCGGAATATCGAGCAAGATTCGGCAATATCGACCATCGAATGATCCTGTTCTAAACAACAAGATGCATCAGTTGATAAGTTCGTCTGAGTAGCCGAACAACTGGATGAATAAATCAGGCTGCTGGATGCTTGTCTTTTTTTTTGTTATACAAAAAACTGGTCCCGTTGACACATGCATTCATTTTAACGTCTAACATTAATTTTGCCCTTTGCTGAAAGCGGGCAGAATGGGAGAGCAGAGAAACACACAGAATTGATTACAGGAACGCCACACTTAAAAAATGAAAAATTTTACGAGTTAATGGTTTTAATTGTAATGTCTGAGGCTCACCCTTCCCAGAAAAAATAAAAAGCGCTACACGTCCGAATAAACTATTTGCTTTCTGTATAATCATCCGAAAAAAAAGAGTATTGCGGAAGATCCACGAAAAGCTGGCAAAAATTTAAAAAACTGCGCTTTGCATATGATAGCACCATTGAACAATATATAGTGGTGTATAAAGTACACACAGGCATAAGTGCTGCAGCTGCTTTGTGGAATAAAAGCACTGATAGTGTAATAATGGGCAACACGTAGTGATTCAAGGGATCCGAAGAGAGTAAAAACGAATGTTTTGATTTCCGTTTTCTTCTTCCACCTCCCTTCCCCCTCCCCTCTCCCCGCTTCCCTGGCGTGCGGCCCCTAACTATTTGCAGAAAGAGGGCTCCGTTTGCAGCAGAGGGAGATCTAAAAGAAGTTACTAGATGCATAACTGAATTGCAGCTGATCAAAGCACTAAATTAAGTAACTGGAGCAAAAAAAATTCGAACGAACTCTCGCAACACGGAACATTGTTCGTAATCACCCAACCAGTAATAATTGCCTTCACTAACCGCTGGTGGCATTTTTCCCAACGAATCCAACCCTGAAAGCCAAACTAACTGTAAATTTAATTATTGACTTAAACAGGACACACATAAGATTTGCCGATCAACGTTTTCAAGAAATATTTTTCAAAGTGACCAGACCCCGAAATTGTCCCGTTCTTAAAGGCGATTCTCCAGTACCGTGTTTTTTGCATGAGCCTCGTCATAAAGTTTAGAACGACTGGATCTAATTCACGATATCTGATTTGCACGATTCATTATACTTGTCTCATGAAATTTAATTTAACTTGGAAAAAAGGCCAGAAATTTGCCGCAGCTATATCTAGCGGATGACATTTGTCGAAAAAGTGCAAAAGCGAGCCACCGATAGTCTTGCAAGCAGGAGATGCTGCTGGCACGTACTACCTTGAGAATAAATAATGAAAACGAAGGGTGTAGCGATTTTTTTCTTTGAGAGTGCAAGAAAAAAGAAAACAGAAAAATAGTGTTACTTCGTATAAAAAGGTCCATGTAGGACTCTGTAGTTAGGATACTAAAAGCTGTGGACATCTGATTTGGTCTCTAAATAATTTGGAAGCTTTTCAAGTTAAAAAAATATGAAACTTCCTGGACTTTTAATTTAAAACACTTAGCAATTTCCTCGCAGAAATGAAGAATGAATTAGAAAAGTTCTGGAAAACAAGGGAAAAAAGCAGAAAGATTCGTGGAAAACAAAGAAAAATGCAACAAGAGAGAATTTTGAAAAATGAAAAAAAACAGGAAAGCTCCAAAAAATAAAGAAAGGAAGCGGAGGTATTCCGGGTAAAAAAAGAGGAAAAACTGGAAAACAAAAAAAAGGCACAGGTACAAAGGCCAAGATCATCTGAGGGCTGACGAGCGGATGATTTAAATTCGGCGATAGAAACAGCTGAGTGGGAGTGTTATGCAAAAATATATTACTTTGATGTTTTCATCATCTGTAGCGTATCTTCAGCAAACTATGAAGATACACTACAGCTGATCAAAATATCAAAGTAATATAATTTTTTGCAAAAAAAAAAAAAAAAATGGACTTACACGTAACAACCCATGATGTTTGCTGCAGGATTTTCAGTTTGCTCAATGAGCAGTTGGCGCATTCCGAAAAACCGTCTTCGCCCCCGCCTGAATAGCATTCCTTCCAGTTATTGTCCAGAAAATCCGATAGTGAGCAAAAAATTTTCGCCAAACCTTGGCGACATTTCGGCCGAAATGGCAAATGATCACGCGAAATCTGACACATTTCGGCAGCCGTATCCGGAAGATTGACATCTTCGAGAGCCGATAACCAGAGGTGATCGATGGACCGCGGCCTTGGAGGTAGTCGTAAGAAACACAGCAGACAAGCTTCAGCATAAGGAATCGATGAAATCAGTAATAACAGGAGAAATAGCAGTATCAGTAGCGACAGTGAAGATTTACCCGTAAAGAGCTTCATTGCGTATTAATGTGCTGAATTTGTAGCAATGATCACAATCACTGGTTTTCTTCGATCGATGATAGATGATAAGAACTCGTTAATATAACTGATAAGATTGATTAAAAAGTTTAGATAGTATGATAACACAGTGGGGTATACTTCAGCCTTGCTTCCCTCTGTCTGGCTGTTTTGCATGCACTAGGCTTTAAAGCAGACACATACTTACTTAAGCTCATGGGCCATCTTAATAAAATTCAGGTGGCAGAGCCTAGCGCTCTGCGATCATGTATTTTTACGCTAAACTTGACGAATTCAGATTGTTAGCAAAATGAGTGTTTGTTGCTTCACAGTTTAACACGTGCAACTCATGTGCCTTTGTTTTGATCATCTCTAGCATACGAGCGAAAACGAGTTAGGGCGGTAATGTTGCATTGTAACTTTCCCCGTTGTTAAGATGAAAGTGAGTGACAAAATCCGATCGCTTCTAAACAAACACGCACACACACAAAGGCATTCTATCGAAATTATGCGTTTTGTAGTAACATAAAGTGTAAAAACGCATAAAAGAAGATAAGTTATTACTAAGTTGTTCATTCAGTACAAAAATAGGCAGCAGCAGATTAATGCGCACTCTGGGCTTAACTGGCACAAGATTGTGGAAATGTGGATTTATATCACTGAAAGAGTCTCAAAGTATTTTCCAGACTGCCTCTGTTAGCCGCCTGCGTATTTATTTTCATGAGAGTGCCGAGACATGGCGGAATACAAATCCCCATTTGTCTGTTTAGACACTACATTCTAATTCCCTCCGCGGGTCGGATTAAAACCGACCGCAGGTCGGATCTGGCCTGCGAGCCACCGATTGCGTACCCATGGTTTAAAACGTCAGAAACTACATTTTCGCATTTATTTCTTGTTGCCTTGAATGCTGGTTTTCAAATGCTTAAATGTTGAAGTAAATATTTATTTTAGCTTTAGATGCTGGGTTTTGGTTTCCTACTCTAACCAGGATTTTCCTGGACTGTTTTTTCATCTCACCTCTTTACCTCGCCGGCCCTGCATGCCACCCCGTCAGAGTGTTGCCCAGTACCAACAAACCGCAAAGAAAAAGCCAAGCTTTTGCAATTATTCAGTTTTGCAGTCTGTGATCAAAGCTGTAAAGTCTCTATGAAAATCATTTTATCAACAAGCAAAATCTAATCCTTACAGCGTAAACATACGCACTGGATTCGTAGCACTCGAAAAGTGCAATAAGGCTGTTTTGTTACTACCGGAAATTGCACGATTTTTTTAGTGGTATTTTCGGATTTGAAGGTTGAATTCTAAAAGCTATCCAGGATTTCTTTAGGCGAAAATTCACCCTTAGTGCACCTGTTTTGTAGAGTATTGCCAAATCAGAACAAAGAGAAATTTTAAAAACTGATTGAAGTAGCAGCTGCAGCGAAGATTGAGTGCCGGGCAAAGCAACTTGAAGTACCAAATGTGTGCGAATTGAACAAGTCGAACAACACCCTCAACTGCTTGATAAGCGTTCTTCAACAACTGACACACACACACGCACAGACACATACACACATACGCAGACACATGCAGGTGCTGATAATTGACTTCGTCTATTGCAGAAATCAGCAAAACGAAACAAATCACTCATTTTGAAGTCATCAATTTACCCGTCATTTCGATGTATGGCTATGGAGAAATGCAACATTTTCATGAAAAGTAACTCATAGACGCGTCAGGGACGAAACGGTTGTAAGTTTTTGCAAGTGTTCATCTGGTGCGTGAGCCAATATGTAACAGAACTTGTCATGATGATTTTCCAATCGACTCAATACGCGAAAAACACAAAAATTTGAGATTCATGGATTGCTGCACTGTGAATTTTCGACATCAGCCATGTTTGGAGCTAAAACAAGGCTTCAAAAGGCAAGAATGGTGAAAATTGCCCGATGAATCAACACATGAGTGAGTTCGTCCTAATGATTTTTTAATCGACTCAACGTACAAAAAACGCTAAAATTTGAGAGAATTATGGACTGTTTCTCTGCGGATTTTCGATATCAGCCCGTATTTTGCATGAAAAAAAAAGGTATCAATATTGTGCATTTGTGCTTTTTGCATCTATTACTTTGCGCCCAGTTGCTGAATAAGCTAATACGTAAAGAAAATTACCAAAATGATTTTTTTAGCTACAAATCAGCTTACGAGTGATACTCAAAATTTTGAAATTACTGCTTACTTTTTTGATTTTTACTAACAGCCTACATCTGGCATGAAAAACAGCTGCTAAGGGACCTCAGTAGTTTTGCACTTGTTATTGTAGGTAACCAGTTGGTGAATAAGTCATCATGGGAGCTTTTTTAATCGATCTGTGCATGACATTTTGCGTTCATATATTGTTTCACCATTGAATTTTAGTATTAGCCCATAACCGATGTGAAAAGAGGCACTACAAAACTGCGGCGGTTGTGCGTTTTCCGTTATTACAGGTGGGTGTAGAATAAGCCAATACACAGAGAAGCTTGTTTTGATGACCTCTATTAATCGATTGAGCACACGTATGTCACCTATTTTGAATTTATAGTTTGGGATTCTAATAACACTCGCATTTAACATGACTTTTAAATCACTTCGTTCGCCCTAAGCTCAACTATGCATTAGACATGATTTGCTAAAATTTCAACTGGCTCGAAATTTTATGGGGTCCCAGCTCAATGAAAATTTTTGCGAGCAGTCAAAATTCCAAGTTTCTGCTCTTTTCATCTTGAAAGTACAAAAATCCCCTCTAATTTCTACCTCTGCTCAAAGTCACGAGAGCACTAAAAATGAGAATTGATGCTTCATTACCACTTTTACCCCGGGTTCCCTGGCTTTCTTTTCATGAAACTAGTCAAGATTTGGACCTAAAAGTCACAAATCAGGGAAAAGCAGTGTAAGCTAGCAACACGTTTGCGATTTTACATAAAATCAAGGGTAATGTTCATAAAATTTTAGCTTCCTAACTGCGGTTGTTCCGAAGACGAAGGGTCCGGGGGCCCACAGACTCGGTCTCGACATAAGTCGGTTTTTATCTATGGAAGCTTAGAGAGGTTGACGAAGTTAGGCAGGACTATAACAAGTTGTCAAAACGAGTACACGTAACTTGAACCAAAAGTAACATTCGCTGATGGTGGTTTGTAATGTTCAAAGTTTTCTTCTTCCATAGGTTAAAGTGTGTCGTGCCGGGCTGCACCAATTATCATTTTATCGTCTAATTCAATACGACAATCAAGGGCAATATGTGCATACGACGGAAATTTAAAAGAAAAACGTCCAAAAAAAAAAAAATTTCACTCGCCGACGAGTTTTTGTCCTCATAAGCTCTTTGCGTGTTCTTCGATACAAACAAAAAAAAAAGTGGAAATTTTAAAACAATGACTCACTGAAAAAAAAAAAGGAACTGAATGAGTTGATGCAACAGTGGTCTGTACTTTCAAATACATTCCTCATTTCCAAAAATTCACTCAGTTTTACAAATTCCCTTTATCCCTCCTTCTCCCCTCTTTCTCCTCCTCCTCCCCCAACCCCCCTTCCCCCTCCCTCATCACTGCAAACTTGTTCCCTGATCCATTTTAGAAGCAAACTTAAAGCAAATTATTGAACTCAGAAAGGTAAAATCTATGGCAAAATGACAAAAAAAAAAAATGCCATATTCAATTAAATCGAACCTGAAATAATACGACAGGAAATAAGGGATCAATCTAAATATCGATTTTGGAACTTCTCAACATCTTATTTTATTCGAAAGGTAGAAGCACTCGGGAATTATGGCGCCTTTAACCAGTAGCAAATAGTGGCGGAAAAAGCCGCCAATCGTTTTTCGTTAGAACGGTCGAAAAGAGCATTTTCACGGGAATTTTTCGTACAACAAATCCAGTTTATCCGCAAAATTTCGAAACAAATTCACCCCATGGCGAGGCTTTCTAGTTCTAGTCAGAATCCAGATCAATACGTCGGAATCAACCTCACAAGCAACACTTTAATAAAACATACATGCACATATAAACAGATGTGTGCACACACACACACACGCACACACACATATGCGTGTACACCCAACATATATAAATAATGGGAAGAAAGACAAAGGGGAAAATTAAGAGTATTTTAACGGCGTCGCATAACATTATATCGC